CACCATCATATAAGTGTACTGATCACACCATACCAGCATCCTGATCACTGCCATACAAGTGTCCTGATCACACCTGACCAGCATCCTATCGCCGCTATACCAACATACTGATCACTGCATTCCAGCATCCTCATCACCACCATACCAGCTATCACTGCCATATCAGTATCCTGATCACCACCCATCCAGTGTACTGATCATGGCCATATCAGCACCTTGATTACTGCCATACCAGGACCCTGATCACTGCCATACCAGCATACTGATCATTGCCATACCAGTGTGTCCTGATCCCCACCATACCAGTTTATCCTGTTCACCACCACATCAGCAACCCATTCACTGCCATATCAGTGTTTTGATCACAGCCGTACAGTATACTGATCACCGTTTTTTTTAATTTGCCATACCAGTAATTACTGCCATACCAGCATACTGATCACCACCATACCAGTGTGTCCTGATCACTGCCATACCAGTTTATCTGTTCACTACCACGTCAGCATCCCATGCACCACCATACCAGTGTTCTGATCACAGCCATACCAGCCTTGTGATCACCACCATACCTGCGATTACTGATCCTGATCACCACCATGCTGGTGTTTTGATAACCGCTATACCAGTATGTCGTGATCACCACCATACCAATGTCCTTATCACCACCATGCCAGCATCCTGACCACTGCCACACCAGCATCCTAATGATTGCCAAACCAGTGGGTCCTGACCACTGCTGCCATACCAGTGGGTCCTGATCACTGCCATAACAGTGGGTCCTTGTCACAGCCCCACTAGTGTCATCAGAGCCACTGCCCCTATTTGCAGTGAGGCCTTTGTGTAAAAAAAATTATGTTTTCAAAAGACTTCTTATACCGCTTAATAACATTTTTTGGGATGGTTGCTGTCCAAAATGTGGACATTTTTAGGTGTTTCCATTGTCCTGGTGCTCCAGGCCCTCCAAATATGTAATAGGTAGTCAGGAAATTAGATGCGTAATTTATGCCCCTAGAAAGCCTAAAGGTGCTCCTTGGATTTTGGCCCCCTCTGTGTGGTCAGGCTGTGAAAAAGTCTCACACATAAGGTATTCCCATATTTAGGAGTCGTAGCAAAATTACACCTCCATTTTATTTCTACATTTTCTAGAAACTTGTGGCAAAAAATGACAATTCCAAAAGACTCATTTTGGCTCTTTGAAAATACCTTGGAACGTTTGATTTCGAAAATGGGAACATGTTGTGGGTGTTTCTACTATCCTGGTGTTCCATAGCCTAAAAAAAATGATAGTTTGTCAGGAAATTAGATGAATAATGTATACCCCTAGACTACCTGAAGGTGCTCACTGGATGTTGGGCCTCCCTATGGGGCTAGGCTGTGAAAAAAATCTCACACATGTGGTATCCCCATACTCAGGAAATGTAGCAGAATGTGTTTTGTGGTGTAATTCAAAGTACGCCTATGCTGTTCATTAGAAATATCTTCTTAATTGTTAACTTTGTGTAAAATGCATTTTCATTTTTTTCCACATTGTCTAGAAACACATGTGGCAAAAATGACAATTCCAAAAGACTCACTATAGCTCTTGGAAAATACTTTGGAGTGTTTGCTTTCCAAAATGAGAACATTGTGTGGCTGTTTCTACTATCCTGGTGTTCCAGGGCCTACATAAATGTGGTAGGTTGTCAGGAAAGCACATGAGAAATTTTATGCCCCTAGAAAGCCTGAAGGTGATCTTTGGATAGTGGGTCCTTCTATGTGGCTAGGCTGTGAAAAATTCTCACACATATTGTATCCCCATACTCAGAAGGTGTAGCAGAATGTGTTTTGGAGCTTAGGTAAGTATGCAACACTTAAGTTTGAGATTTAACTTGTTAAAATGACAACACTGTGGAAAAAAAAGTATTTTCATCATTTCCCATAGAATTTTGGCAAAAGAAATTGCAACATCAAAAAAATCACCATGTCCCTTACTAAAATACCTCAGACTGTCTTCAAAAAAAATTATAATAACAATAAAAATGTTTAAAATTATATATAATCCACTTATAAAAAATAATAAAAAAACAAGTCCCAAATCGCCAGTGAGTTCTTTTTTATATATTTCTTAAATAAACTCACTGTGGATCTATTCAATGTCATTCAGTGCCTTCTTATTTAAATAACTGTGCACCTCCACCTACACCCCAGATGTGCCCTCACCTGGAGCTTATGACCTCTCATAAAAATGTTTGGTCAAATAGCACTTGTGTCACTTTTATTGGACTTTGGAGCCTCTTGAGTTGGAATCTTCTCTCAATGATAGAGCACCTCCTCCATATACAGTAGATCCTGTCACACCTGTTGTGGCTGCTAATAGATTGAAGGTTTTTGGCAGAGGTCCTCTCCTCAGCTTTAATTTTTGTGTTGGTACTGAATCCATCACTTCCATCTGAAGTGCTGCCTTTTGCTGGACAGCTGTATGCTGTTGCTCTGCATGGTCACAAAAATCCTTGTTGACATTTGGTCTTGAGAGGACTATGCCTGCACCTTGGCTTTTGGTTCTAGACTGATTTTGCATAAGTAGTTTCCTTTTTTCTTTGTCTAGTTCTGCTAAAATAGCAACTCTGTTTTGTTCAGAAAACCTGAGCCTGATCTCAATCCAAAGCTGTGCAATGCAGTCACTATTTTTGCAGAAAAATGTGTTTTTTCCAGAATTTGTGGTATTTTTTAATTTATATAGAAAAAATAAAAAAAAACATTGGGGATGAAATACCACCAAATTCATTTTCTTTGTCTTTATATAATTTCATTTGGGTACAGTGTTGCATGACTGAGTAATTGTCATTCAAAGAGTGAGAGCGCTGAAAGCTGAAAATTGGCCTGGACTGGGGGTGGAAGGGGGAAGGGGGTGAAAGTGTCTGGACTTGAGGTGGTTAAAACAAAAATATAACCAATATGCATATACATTTGCAAAGCAATACCACTTAAAAGAGGATCCCTCTCGAATTATGGATTCTTCTACGTCATATAGTAGATGTCAGGAATGGACTGGCCAGCAATAGTGGGACTCAGCTGCCTTATGAGCTGCAGTACCAGGGCTGGCCAGCGGGTGCTCCCAGCAATCAGAGACTCAACCTTGCAGCCAGTCAAACACCTGGAACTAATTATACTGGTGTATTTAAGGGACATTCAGACCTGCAGACTCTGCCTTGGTGTTGTGTTTCTCCTGGGCCCTGTATCCTGTTCCTGCTCCCTGTTTCCTGTTCCTGTCTGATTCTCTGCTGACCCTGCTCTGATCCCTGGCTTGTCTGACCATTCTCCTCTGCCTGACCCTCTGTACCACGCTGCCCGCTACCTGCTGAACCTGGCTTGTGACTCCGACCATTCTCCGCTTGCTCCCCCTGTACCTACCTGCCCGATTGATATTGACCCGGCCTGCCTAACGACGCTTGCATTGTATGTACTGTCATCTGGGGTGGTTGGTTTGGTTTGTTTGCACTGTGTTATGTTTTAGTATTGCACTGCGTTTATGTTTGTATTGTTAGTGTTAATAAATTACATTGTTTATAACATATCTGAAGCCTGCGTTTCCCTGCGTCAGTCACACACCTCTGGTCACACCCGGGAGCCCTGACATTACACCAAGGCCAATCCTGACCAGAAGTGGCTGCACAGGGAAGCCATCTTGGCTTGTTGATGGGAAGGATGGATCTTGATGAGGTTGTGTATTTATATCTGCTAGTGTTTGATGACAGGGAGTATGCTTATCAAACTCTGAAGGAGTATACCCGGGATGAACTGCTAGAATGTATACGGCTCGCTCAAGTTCTAGTAGATCAGGGCACAGAGTTCTCTGAGGTGCAGCCTTTGATTGAGGTTTGTGCTGAGTTGGTTTCATCTGGTACCCCCGAATGCAGGGATGAATTTTTGCCACCATTTAGTGCAGACCAGGTAGAGTCCCTGGTGTGGTTATTAGAGGATGATGTGGGTTACTTTCTGGAGCGTTATTCCACATGATCACCACAGATACTAAGAGATTGTATAAACGCAGTGCAGTCTTTGGCCAGACAGGCTTTGTGTAAGCTCAGCTTTGTTCAACCCATACTGCAGACATGGACAGACTTGTTGCACCCAGCCTCAGTCAGCTTACAAAAACCCAGTCCTGCTTCTAATCTATTTCCTCAAAACTCTATTCCTGCATTCCCAACAGCTCCTCCTGCCCTGCTATCTACCGCATGTCAGTACCCTGTTCCCACTCGCTGCACCTATCCTGCCTTTAACCCTGTAAAAAAGCCCTCTGTAGCAACTGCTCCCTCTCCTGTTCCATCCTCCAGTTCTTCTCTGTCTCCAGCTGCTCCATTCGTTTGCAGACCTGCGTTTACTTGCAGTGCTCCAGTAGTTAAAACCAAAAAAAGCAAAAATTCTTTCCAACCAATACCATCCTGCCAGTATCCAAACCGGTGAACCTGCCTTCCGTGGTTCAGCCTGAAGCCTCTACTCAGCCTGAATCCTCTACTCAGCCTGATGCCTGTACTCAGCCTGATGCCTGTACGCAGCCTGATGCCTCTACTCGGCCTGATGCCTGTAAGCAGCCTGATGCCTCTCTTCAGCCTGAAGCCTCTACTCAGCCTGAAGCCCTCTATTCGGCCTGAAGCCTCTATGCCTCTACTCGGCCTGATGCCTCTACTCGGCCTGAAGCCTCTACCCAGCATGATGAACTGATCCAGCCTGACGATCCTATTAGGCCAGTTGACTCGATGCCCGCTGTTGATCCAGATGATCCAGTACCTGATCCGGTGCCCGCTGTCGTGCCAATTGACTCGGGAGCCCGCTGTCGTACCGGGTGACTCGGTGCCCACTGCCTTGCCAGATGACGCGGTGCCCGCTGGCGAGCCAAATGACCTGATGCCTGGTGACCCAGTTCCCGCTGTCATACCTGGTGACCCGATGCCCGCTGTCGAGCCAGACGATCTAATGCCTGGTGACCCGGTGCCCACTGCCTTGCCAGATGACGCGGTGCCCGCTGTCGAGCCAAATGACCTGATGCCTGGTGACCCGATGCCCGCTGTCCAGCCAGACGATTCAATGTCTGCCCCAGTGCCCGCGGTCATGCCAGTTGACTCGGAGCCCACTGCCTTGCCAGATGACGCGGTGCTCGCTGTCGAACCAAATGACTTGATGCCTGGTGACCCGATGCCCGCTGTCCAGTCAGACGATCCAACATCTGACCCAGTGCCCGCGGTCATACCAGTTGACTCGGAGCCCACTGCCTTGCCAGATGACGCGGTGCCCGCTGTCGAGCCAAATGACCTGATGCCTGATGACCCGATGCCCGCTGTCCAGCCAGACGATCCAATGTCTGACCCAGTGCCAGCGGTCATGCCAGTTGACTCGGAGCCCACTGTCGTGCCTGGTGACTCGGTGCCCGCCGCTTCGCCTGGGGGCCCAAGACCTGTCGCTCCGCCTAGGGGTCTGGCGCCCGCCGCTCCGCCTGGGGGTCCGGCGCCCGCCGCCCCGCCTGGGGGCCTGATACCTGTCGCTCCGCCTGAGGGCCCGAGACCTGTCGCTCCACCTGGGGGTCCAGCGCCCGCTGCTCTGCCTGAGGGCCCGGGACCTGTCGCTCCGCCTGGGGGTCCGGCGCCCGCCGCTCCGCCTGAGGGCCCGAGACCTGTCGCTCCGCCTGGGGGTCCGGCGCCCGCCGCTCCGCCTGAGGGCCTGAGACCTGTCGCTCCGCCTGGGGGCCCGAGACCTGTCGCTCCGCCTGGGGGCCCGGCGCCCGCCGCTCCGCCTGAGGGCCCGAGACCTGTCGCTCCACCTGGGGGTCCGGCGCCCGCCGCTCCGCCTGAGGGCCCGAGACCTGACGCCCCGCCTGGGGGCCCGATGCCTGTTGCCCCCCGCCTGGGGGCCCGATGCCTGTTGCCCCCGCCTGGGGGCCCGATGCCTGTCGCCCCTCCTGGGGGCCCGGTGCCCGCCGCCCTGCCTGGGGGCCCGACGCCTGTCGCCCCGCCTGGGGGCCCGACGCCTGTGGCCCCCGCCTGGGGGCCCGATGCCCGGTCGCCCCTCCTGGGGGCCCGGCGCCCGCCGCTCCGCCTGGGGACCCGATGCCTGTTGCCCCGCCCGGGGGCCCGATGCCTGTTGCCCCCGCCCGGGGGCCCAGTGCCTGCTGCTCTGCCCGGGGGCCCGGTGCCTGCTGCTCTGCCCGGGGGCCCGGTGCCTGCTGCTCTGCCGGGGGCCCGGTGCCTGCTGCTCCGCCCGGGGGCCCGCTGCCTGCTGCTCCGCCTGGGGGCCTGGTGCCTGCTGCCCCACCTGGGCCCGGTGCCTGCTGCTCTGCCTGGTGGCCCGCTGCCTGCTGCTTCGCCTGGTAATCCGATGTGCCTCTGCCCAGAGTCCGGCCCGATGTGCCTCTGCCCGGAGTCCGGCCCGATGTGCCTCTGCCCGGAGCCCTGCCCGATGTGCCTCTGCCCCGGAGTCCAGCCCGATGTGCCTCTGCCCGGAGTCCTGCCCGATGTGCCTCTGCCCGGAGTCCAGCCCGATGTGCCTCTGCCCGGAGTCCAGCCCGGTGTGCCTCTGCCCGATGTGCCTCTGCCCGGAGTCCAGCCCGATGTGCCTCTGCCCGGAGTCCAGCCCGATGTGCTTCTGCCCGGGTCCAGCCCGATGTGCCTCTGCCCGGAGTCCAGCCCGATGTGCCTCTGCCCGGAGTCCAGCCTGATGTGCCTCTGCCCGGAGTCCAGCCCGATGTGCCTCTGCCCGGAGTCCTGCCTGCTGCTGTGCCTCTTCCCGGTGTGCCGCTGCCCGGAGTCCTGCCCGGTGTGCCAGTCTTTGATATCCCGCCAGTTACCAGACCCGGGCGGTGGAACATTTTGCCCAGCTAGGACTGTTTGGAGCGTCCTGAGGCCGCTCCTTGAGGGGGGGGTACTGTCAGGAATGGACTGGCCAGCAATAGTGGGACTCAGCTGCCTTATGAGCTGCAGTACCAGGGCTGGCCAGCGGGTGCTCCCAGCAATCAGAGACTCAACCTTGCAGCCAGTCAAACACCTGGAACTAATTATACTGGTGTATTTAAGGGACATTCAGACCTGCAGACTCTGCCTTGGTGTTGTGTTTCTCCTGGGCCCTGTATCCTGTTCCTGCTCCCTGTTCCCTGTTCCTGTCTGATTCTCTGCTGACCCTGCTCTGATCCCTGGCTTGTCTGACCATTCTCCTCTGCCTGACCCTCTGTACCACGCTGCCCGCTACCTGCTGAACCTGGCTTGTGACTCCGACCATTCTCCGCTTGCTCCCCCTGTAACTACCTGCCCGATTGATATTGACCCGGCCTGCCTAACGACGCTTGCATTGTATGTACTGTCATCTGGGGTGGTTGGTTTGGTTTGTTTGCACTGTGTTATGTTTTAGTATTGCACTGCGTTTATGTTTGTATGGTTAGTGTTAATAAATTACATTGTTTATAACATATCTGAAGCCTGCGTTTCCCTGCGTCAGTCACACACCTCTGGTCACACCCGGGAGCCCTGACAGTAGATGTTCCCGGTCGTTTACTTAGTTATTTTAAGCTAATGTTGGCAGTTTTAGCTTCAGGAAATAAAATAATTCACTACTAATGGTACATGGATGAAAGAATACCAATAATAAAACCAACTCTGAAAAATTTAATTACATGAGGCTTATTGCTAACCAAGAATCAAATAATGTAATCATGGCTTCATTCTAAGCTGTCATAGCAAATGAATAATGTAAGTTACAATAATCAAAATCATTTAAATATAACATTGATTTCTAATTTAAAAATGTGAAAAATTTAAAATAATGACATACGCAACTTCCAAGAAATAATCCCATAAGAAGATAATAGGTTATTGACCTGCATATGAATATTTAATAAATGGATTTCAAACTTTACTACTTACCAGTCCATCATAAATCCAATATCCCCACAGTAGTGGTTCACTATTGGGACCATATTTAAAAATGATAATGTGCTGCACACTTGACCATCATTGGCTCACTTTAATAATCTCTAATATTACACTCTGATATTTCACTCCCATTCTCAATGACACTGCTTTAAAAGCACCATTTACATGTTTGCTGACAATCCTTCTTTGTTTACTTTTTTGTTTTTGTGTCTTCTCCTTTCAGTTTCACTCTTACCTTCATTATATCCTCAGTACTATTTATTGCTATCCAAATACTTTCTTTCTAAATTCTTGAAATGCAGATACTCCTCATTTTACAGCCTTCCTGTTTAGCGACCACTGGGATTTACGACTGTCTCTCTAGCATTGTGACCACTCAGACTTACAACCTGCACTCGGACTTACAACTGGTACCTGCTGTTCAATGGTACGTACGAGAGTGGCAGCAGCAGTGCGTCCGTTCAGCTACTGTCTTGTCTGTACAGTACTGTACATCGCCAACACTTCCGTACAGTACTCGATAGTACAGTAATGTACTGGAAGGAACAGTATTTGCATGACATTCCAGCCATCCTAGGAACTGATGGCTATCTTGATATCCAGCCCAGGATCTCAGGCATAGGCAGTACTGTAGTGTGACAATGTACAGCTCAGTACACAGCTACATCTGTTTATAAAGCTTTTACTTTAGCATATTAACGAAGTAGTAGTAGTGTGTGAAATCTAGGTACCCTATTCTGTGTAGTACTTTATTGTGCACCCAAACACCAATGAAGGCTATGTATCTTAAGATGAAAATGAAGATCATAAAGGACTACAGAGCTGGTAAAAAGGTTAAAGCAAAAGCACATGATACAGTGCACTGGTACATTCAACCCTTTCAACAATCCTGAAGGATAAAGATAGAGTGAAAGAAGCAGTGAAAGCACTGACAGACTTTAAAGCTATAATAACTAGGCAGCAGAAAGGCCTCATTCATGACATGGGAAAAGTATTGTTGATCTGGTTTGATGACCTCACCAGAGATCTGTCCTGCCCATGCTTACCCCTCTAGACCTTACCATCGACCAGAAACTTTGTGTTCCAAATCCCTCCTTTCTACCTCAGGAAGTTCCCAGAGATGTGTTACTAAGGGTTCATTTCTATCAGGTTAAAGAGCATCTGTTGTCAGCATTTCAGAAGAAAGAGCAATTACCAGAACAAGCGGCTATGCTTCAGGTGCTTCCTGACCTATCTGACCACATTCTGCAGCTACATAAAAATATGATATCCATCACTAAAGCTTTACATAACCATCAAATTATTTACACAGGGCAATACCCTGCCACATTGAACATCAGCAGGGAAAGCACTACCCACACTGCCCACAATCTATCAGAGGGTCTTTTTCAATACATTAAAAAGATGATTCAGAATATTTCTCTGTGAATGTACCTTTATTTACATTTATAGAATATTTCTTTGTGAATGTACATTTATTTGTGCATTCTCAAGAAAAACTAGTTTAAAAAAAGAAAAGATTATTAGATTACATATTAACCTTAACATATTACTCTAGGAGTATTAATAGTAATGTAAGTGAACGCTATGCCCTAGATCAGGGGTGTCAAACTCAATTTCGTTGTGAGTTGCATCAGCATTATGGTTGCCCCCAAAGGGCCAGTTCTATCTGTACGACTATATAAATGTATCTACTCTTTATCATATTAAATATTTGCCTCTGCATTTGATTATTAAAGTTTTAGAAATAACTCCTGTAGCAAGTGAGACTGCTTAGACAGAACATGGTTCTGCCATGGTGTTCTGTCTAAGCAGTCTCCAATAGTTTCTTCAGGATGATACCAGCAGTGTGCTACCCTCCTTTTCAACTGGCATTGAATTGAAATATTCTCATAATTCTTGTAATAATCATAAGTATCCATTTATGACCTATTGTATGAATGTTGACACAAATGCCACAGCTCCCGCCTCCTGTTCCTCACCCCAACCTACTGTTTTCCTCATTCCCCCCTCACCCCCCCCCCCCCCTCTTTTTTTTTCTTTTTTTTTTTTTTCTCTTTCTCTCTCTCTTCTCTTTTTTTTTTTCTCTTTTTCCTTTTCTCTTCTCTCTTAGACAGGCTTCTGTACATATATCAGGTTTAGTCATTTTTGGTTATTGTTTATGGAATACTTGGTATGCAGATAGTCTAGCTCCTATATGTTCGTCAGTGGTATTCACGACATCCACATTTACACTTTGAGCTTTCCCTTGTTTCAAGATGGCGTACTGCTTTCGGGGTAGGCATTGAATGTTACACTCCCCCATGTACAGATTAACACGCTGA